AGTCCCTCTCTCTCGGAGTCTTCGGTTTGAAACCGATAAATCACTTGCATATTTGTGTAGTGATTCAAATGGAGCTAAGACCTCTCCCATCTCAACATGTGGTAAATTGTAAAGCCAATGAATTGCAGATGTAGGCTACAGTGAGATTCTCGAAGAAAATGCAGAATGAATGGGAAAGAGGGATGCTATAAATATTTACTGAGAAGATAAGTAGATTCCAGCGTGCTGGGCCAATTAGGATGCACTAAATATATTAGTAAAATGCTTAAAAAAAATCGGGAGGATTTGTGTGGGTCTTGGGGTGGGTTGGTTTGTTTTGGAAAGTAAAATAAAAGGCACTGTGTTATTGTCAACGTCAGTTTTATTGAACCTGAATCACAATGGCCTACCCAGGGTAGGGCACATGAAACCCACATTAATGCAAATTAATTCGTTATGAGTTGCAGCACTGCTAAGTGGAGTAATGAGGGGGCATCATTTTAAGAGTGTTAGTGTAGCAACTTTTAATGAAAAATGCTGTGTTAGGGACATGTCTCAGCACTTTCGCCCACGTGGTTTTTTTTTTTTTTTTTTAATATGCGCGAAATGTGTTTAGTCCAAGAGCAGGAAACTTGATTCGCTTAATCCCCCACCCCCCAGTAGTTTAAGAACATCAGTTAATGTTTGGATGTTTAAAGGAAGTCCTCTTGTTCTTGTCAAAAATCAACCCAGATATCCCTATCACCATCATCAAGTTCAACCTCAACTTGCTTTTTTTTTTTTTTGAAGAGGCTGCTGTACAAAGTGGAAAAACAGCAAATGTAGCCCCCCAAACTTGAGCTAACACCAGCTAGCAATTCCTCCCTGCCTCCTCAGGTTTTTTTTTTTTTTCTTAGAGGATTTTGGTCTCAGGCAGTGTTGCAAGTCAATACTTCTTTCCCCAAATGTGAGTAGGTGGATCTGTGTGGAAGCTGTAAAAGTTAATGATCGTTCTCTGACTCATAGCTGATGGTTTCAGGTTGAGGAAAAAGAAGAAACAAATTAATGAGGGTGAGCAGACATTTGATGGAACACTGGGAGTCCAGGGCTTGTTCCTGGGTGTGAGGGCAGTGGAATTTCTGCAGGAGGGCAGCCCAGCCAGTGGGAAGGGGGTGCCATGGCTAAGTGGTGGGTGGAGGCTGATCCGAATGTTCCCTGCCTGGATCCCTGCAGGAGTGTTTCAACCCTGGTAGTCAGTGCCTGTTTTGCTTTCCCTCTGGAAGTTAGAGGCCCTCGTGGTACTTTTTATAAGGACAGGCAGCAACCCAGAGTCCTGGTCAAAAGTTTATTTGCCATTAAATGTAGAAAGCTCGCAACATAGGGCTGGGGGTGGGGCTGTGTACAGAATGCTCTCTGGTTGCTGCCTCACCCTGCAAAATGAGAACTCAAGAAGAGGCCTTCCATACACTCAAAAAGGTGTTTTGTGGTTGTTGTTGTTTTTTAGGCTAATGGCATGGGAATTAGACTTTAAGTGGCTCAGGGAGTAGCTACATAGAAAAGTAGCCTGAAAAACTGAACCTTCTTAGGAATTGGATATATATATATATATATATATTGGATTTTATATATCTCCAGGTAGCTCATAAAACTGAAGACAAAGAAAATTTAGTGGAATGAATAGGCATCAAAAATTAAGCTTCATCACATTGGAAGTTAATTTAGTTCTGGGAAAACCAACGAAGGATTCAAATTTTGTTTTTAGCACACCTTCGAGGATGAGAGTCCCATGGTTGAACCAAATTGTCTCTTCTTCCTCCTGTCTCTGGGTGTCTGTGATGTTTGGTATCTGAAGCATCAAGTTTAGAGCCTGTAGCAGTGATTAGTAAAAAACCAACAGGACTCACGATGGTAAGGGACCTGCTTAATCGTAGTATGTTGGTTGGATTTTGCATGCCTGTGCTGAGAACTGCCAAGTCTGCTCTTGTCCTGTGGACAAGAGAGGAGAAGGGGGCTGGGGGGGGGGGTGGTGGTGGTGGTGCTGAACTTGACCTCTGTAAACCAGCACCCAGAGCCAAGATTTAATTTTGATGTGAGTTTCTCAGGAGGGAAGGAAGTTTTTTTTTTTTTTTTTAAAAAAACACCTTGGAGTTCTCATTGGGTGATTTCTGGGCATTCCAGGGAGGGAGGCTCAGGTCAGAGCTGCCACAGTTGCTGGATGAGGCGGTCATGTGGAGCTTGGGCACTCCAGGTGACCTCAGGGCACAGGAGCCTGTGGTTCCTTGCTCCATCAGGGAAACCTTGGCCATCTGGTCCTGGGTCCCTTAACCTCCCCTCCCCTTCAGAAACAGAGGGCCTGCATCTTGTTCTCTCCCTTGCAGCTCCCAGAGAGGCAGAAACGATGGCTCCAGCTTAGAGTGCCATGGTTTTACTGGGTGTTTGTATTTTATCTTCTGTCTTAAAAAGCCAGACTATAGCAAACAAGGCATCTCTTGTGTTTTACAGGGAAGGGAAAAAGCAGAAAGTGTACATTTTAGAACAGTGTCTTTGGGAAAGGAGGGGGTGGAAACCCAAAGGAGAAGCCAGAGAATTTGACGTCTTGAGCATTGTGGCTGCAGGAAATGCAGCTAGGTGATTCCTTCAGCACCACGGCGACTGGCTGAGAGTAAGGTGTGACTTAGAATGAGCTACTTGTGCTGTGTGCTTTTGCTGGACGCGTGTGTGTGTGCACGCACACACATGTGTGGTTGGATACTTGAGGGAAGTTACATTGCTTGGGGTGTTAGAATGATGTGTGTATGTTTGTATAGGTCAAATTAACTTTGTCTTGTATGTCAGTTTCCCTGCTAGAGTTCCTAGGAACTGGCAGTGACATTTTTGCTGTTGTCATTGCAACACCCCTCCTCCCGGCCCACTTCTTGGCCCCAGGATTGTTGGTGTTATTTGGGAGGTGATGAATGCAAGGGTTAAGAAGGAAACAGATTGAGTAAAAATTGAACTGGGATGCACCAAAGTTTCACTAATTTATTCATAAGACCCTGGCTTTATGAATTTTTTTTTTCTGTGACACAGCTTTCAATATCAGGTGTCCATTCAATTTTAATTGACGATACAAGATTCCCGCGGTTACCCCCAGTGCGGATTGCCTAGGGCTCGGCAGGGTTTGTGGGAAGAAAAGCTTGTACAAGTTTCCATTAAGCCCTGAATCAGGCAATTGGAAAAGAGGAGAATGAAACGAGCTGAAAGAGGGGCAAGTTGTTAGTGTTGCCTGCTCTGCTGAGGACGGCGGCCTCTCAGACGAGAGCTGCTCTCCAGCCAAGAATTCCAAACCCGCAGAGAAACCTGTCCCAGGCACAAAAGTTGTTTTAACAGGATGCAGGATTGTCACAGTAATTAGTGCAATCTCTGCGTACTGACTGGCAGGTTTTACAAAAAGGACAGGGGCACAAAGGGTGCAAATTCATCTTTCTTTTTCAGTGGTTCACTTCGGATTGGCTGCTGCGGAGTGAGTGTGTGTGTTGGGGGGGTGTGCTGTGTGTGACTGAGGCATACCTTCGATGTTCATCTTTCATTTTTTGCTGTTCTTTGGGGAGGGAGAGTGGCTTATTACTCCGACAGGTCTAGAGGATTTTTTTTAATCTACCTTTATGGTAACTCCCTTTAATTTTTGACTAATTGTGTTTTGAGACAAACAGACTCTGTGTGTGTGTGTGTGTGTGTGTGTGTGATGTTGATTTGGAATAGATCACCTTATCTTAGAGCTCAGTATATCCTAAAAGGGATACCTACAGCCTTTTTGAATGAGCAGAATGGATTTAGACGTTTTCCTTTTCCTTGGTTTCTACCATGTTGTGTTTATCTTGAGTTCAAAAAATTCTTTTGTGGCCTGCTCTTTCTGTCCTTTCAGAAAACAAAACAACTGTTTGGAGTGGATGATTTTTCGTCTAGGGAGCAAGATGTGCTTTAATTGAGCCTGAAGCTCACTCACAACCTCAATTATACTTTGTTCCGGTGAAAAAAGCAGGGTAGAGGCAAGAAGCAGGAGTTTGTTGTAATAAGAAAGGTCCCGCTTTGGGGATGCAGCTGATCTGCTTCTCCTGTGGGGGGATGGGTAGCTATCCCAGGGTTCCTGATGGCATCCCTTGTTGGGATGCCGCACAGGAAAATGCATTTTCAGAGATCTTTACTGAGTGTTGTGTTTATCAATCAGCAGATGGTGTTTGCGTCCCCCATTGGTAGAGTCCCAAGATTAACAAGTGGGGAGGATCCCGGGGATTCCCAAGTGTTATTTAGGAGAATGAGAATTGGGCAAGGCATCTTGGTATTCCTTTCTGTTTGGGGGACACCTGCCTCTTCCATGGGTGGTCTGGAGGGGGTTTCAGGGAAAAGCGGAAGAGGGGCCAGCTGATCGGTGGTCCTGAGCTTGCTGGCAGCTCCGGGGCAGTGCCTGGCTCCGCTTTGGGCAAGCGTGGATTACTAGAGTGCGGGTCACGGAGAAGCCCTGGGACACACAGCTCCGTCATCGTGAAAGAATGTATAAGGCATCGGGTGGCCCCTGAATCCTGTTGCACACATCTGCTTTCCCAGAAATAGAACTGGGCTGCAGGGCCGGGCCCGGTTATTTGGAATAAGGGGGAAGGGGGCTTGTACTTGTGGCAGTCTCGTGGCTCCTCATTGCAATCCTGTCTCGTCTGCCCTCTCGCCTAGCACACAGTGCCATGTTCTGTATCCTGCTCAGCACACTGGCTTCCTTTATGTCTTCATGGGCATCAGTCTTTCCTTTTCATGTCATTGATTCTCACTCCTGGCCACTCCCTCCCCTTTTTGCTTATTGAATAGGCACTGTTTTTTTTTTTTTTTAACTTTACCTTAGATGATTATGATCATCTTATCCATAGCAACAAATAAAAGTACACAGGTCTTGATTGAATGCCAAGGCTGCAGCTCAATCTAGGCAGGGTTGTCTGCTATTCATAAACTGCTTAAGATGTTTTCTTGTAGTTTGTGACATAAGCAGAACGCTTTGATTTGGTTTCTTTCTACAGCTCCATTTTCAGTCCGGCAGCACACATTACTCTGCGTACAAAACGATTGAACACCAGATTGCAATTCAGGTAGGAAATGCAAGAGATTCTGAAGCTTGAATTGTCAATATGTAGGTCTCTTGTGTCTTTTATTCTCTGCCCCTTTTCCCCAACCTTGATAATGATGATGATGATGGTGGTGATGGTGATGGTGGTGATGATGGTGGTGGTGGTGATGGTGGTGGTGGTGGTGGTGGTGGTGGTGGTGGTGGTGGAATCCTGGGGGGAGGTGGGGAGCAAAGAAGAAGAGCAGAATCAATCCTGTGAAAATGATTGAAAGATAGGGAAAGAAAGAGAAGCCTGTGTTTATTGTTAAGAGTTTCTTGATCGGGCATCAGGGGCTTGCAGGCTCCAGTTGGCTTCTTGTTTTTTTTTTTTTTTTCTTTTTGCCTGGGGAGGCATCTTGAGGGGAGTGAAATGGGGGCAACAAAACGTGAATGGGAAGAATTAAGGGGGGAGGAGGGGAGGAGACTACGTGACAGCCAGAGAGTTGTTTCCGGTGGATCAGAATCACGTTCAGTGGTGCTAAGAATATCACTTTTGACCTGATTGTCCTGAAATGTTGATTTCTCTGGGGCCTGTTGATATATGACACTGACAGTGCTGGAAGGGACAGGCGACAGATCCCAGCTTCTGATGAGTGTCCTGTTTCCTGCTCGCCTAGTACCTCCATTCTCTTCGATCCAAGGGCTAAACAAATCACGGACTAATATAGACTTGGAGCTGAGCTGAGGCCAGCGAGAGCAGTGGTGGAGGGAGGCAGACTAATACAATTTTCATCTGTCTGCCTGGCCTCGGCTGTGCCTCACGGTGTAACTGATGGTCCCAAAACTCTGTGTGTTTTGGTTTAACCCTTTGAAGGAAGGCTTTGCAAACCTTTGTGATAGAGTCTTAAAGTCTGGCTCTTCTGAGTTGATGTTGGTTTGTTAGCTCATTCACGTCATTCTGTTGCTGTCCTCCTTGTAGAGAGCCCTTGCAGGCGACTTCAAAAAGTTCATGAAAAGTGCTTATTGGAGGGGCGGGCATTTGACCTAGGAGCGAAGACAGTGCTTGGGATGCCTGGAACAGAATGCCTGAGTTTGAGTTCCAGCTCTGCTTCCGATCCCAGCTTCCCGCTAACATGCATTCAGTAGGTGATGGCTCAAGTACTTGCTACCCTGCCACCCACATGGGAGACCCAGGTTTAGTTCCTGGCTCCTGGCTTTGGCCTGGACCAGCCCAGCCCAGCCCTTGGCTGTTGCAGGCAGGCATTTGGGAAGTAAAAGAGTAGATGGACGTGTTTTGCCTCTCCAATAAATAGAATAAATAAGTAAGCCGAAGTTAAAAGAAAAATGTTTATCATGAAAAACACTGCATGTATTTCACTGTGTGTGTGTGTGTGTGTTTTAAACACCGAAGTAAACTGACGTATCCATTCCATTTTCCCACGAACTGTCGGGAGTACTTCTGAATGTAGATGGGAGCCACAGTCATGTCGCATCTTTGTAGTTCTGCCACCTCAAATCCCCATCTTGCTCCATCAGACTATCAAATGGCCATTAGCCCCAGGTTAGCGGAATTATTCCGCCAGGGAAACGTGAGAGTCAGCAGACATTTTTATCTGGCCGAGTCCTAGTATTTTTGTACTTATTTCAAGGCTGCAGTAACTTACTTGGAAGATATTGTGGTCCCTCGCAGGGTTGTGTTGCTACAGTAGGGGAAAGCATGGCTCTTGATTTTAGCCTCCTGCCCCGAGATGTGTTCAAGACGGGTGCATGGTCAGCCTGCGGTTCCTTTGTTCTCGCACACTTCCTGTCACACCCTGGGTCCTTGTGGCCAACCCCGGGTCCTTGTGGCCAACGGCGCTAGTTGAGATGCCGAGCTTGGCAAGAGAACCAGCCCACACCCTGACTCTTGGTGACTGGGTGGCCAACCAGTGTCCTGAGGCCTGCTACATCTCCTGGGGTGCTGGCAAACCGGGCTGCCTGGGGTATGGAGATGTTGGGGTTGAGTAGGATCCCGATCCTTATCTCAGTGTGGAAAGGCTGGCTGGGGCCCTGTCACTGGGAGACCAGCCGAGAGTGGGCCAGCTGTTGTGTCTTTACACCCGTGGCTGAAGTGCCCCTTGTTCGTCTTTGTCCAAACCACCTGGCACGGTGCAGGCCATGGGAAGCTCCTTCTCAGGAGTAAATTACAGAGCTCATTGTCTGGAGGACTGAGGGCATTACTATGTCTCCATGAACAGGTAGTATTGTTTGCCCTGCCTCTATTTGCTGAGGCTGGATGCCCATGTGGGCAAACAGAGAGGCATTTTATGAGAGACCCAGCACCATGCTCTCAGCGTGCCTTCTCCCCCAGTCTCTGCTGCCTCAGCACGAGGCCAGGCAGAATGGCATCTCGCTGTGATTTTAGTGTGGTCACCGAAGGATGAATGGCCAGAAACCCGAGAAGCCAAGGGAGATGGGGGCGGGGGGAACCTCAGACAAGATGGAACTGTTCTCAAAGCACCTCGGGCAGCTCAGTGTCCATGTGGGGCGGGGGTGAGTGGTGAGGATGTTGTCAATGGGGTACAGCAGGCAACGGGCATTTGACTGTCCCCCTGTTCTCTGATTCAGGGATTAAACGCAGCTTGATTGTTAGGGTGGAATTTTCTTCCCTGGAAACTTAAAGCTGTTTTACCCTCATGGATACCATATTTTAATAGGAGTGAGCTTGTTGGTCTCCTAACTATGTCCTAAAATAACCTCAAAAGAAGTGTGACACTGTGCATCTCATAAGAGTGCTCTTTCCTCTGCCCGTTCCCTCCTGTGATTTCGGGACTTGGCCAAGTTCACTGTTGATGTGAGTGACCTCTGAGTAATTCTATGGACATGTCACATTCTTTGGACACAGTTACTGTGTTGGGATCTCCCCCACTTTTTTGTTGGAGAGGCAGAGAGACAGGCAGAGTGAGCCCCCATCTGCTGGTTCACTCCCCAAATGTAATGACTGGGGTTGAGCTGAGGCCAGAGGCAGGAGCCAGGCACAACACAGCCCAGGTCTCCTGTATGTGTGGCAGGGACCCAGTCGGAGCCGGGAATTGTTCCCAGGTACTCTGTGTGGGATGTGGACATTGATTGTAACCACTATATGATAATCTCCTAGCTCCTCTCTGTTTTGCAAAGAGTAACATGAATGGCCACATTCTCCCACAATGGGTAACATAAATATAACTAGAATGAAAGTTAAAAGGTCTTTTAAAAACACATTTAATTCTTTACACTTTAAACATTTTTATTGAAGTATAGTTTTTTAAATTTTTCTACTTATTACTTGAAAGGCAGAGTTACAGAGGGAGAGAAAGAAAGAGAGAGATCTTCCATCTACTGGTTCACTCCCCAGATGGCCACAATGGCTGGGGCTAGGCCATGCTGAAGCCAGGAGCCAGGATCTCTGTCCAGGTGTTCTACATGAGTGGCAGGGGTCCAAGCACTTGGGCCGCCCTCTGCTGCTTTCCTGGGTGCATAAGCAAGAAGCTGGATCAGAAGCAGAGCAGCTGGGACTCGAACTGGCACCCATATGAGTTGGCAGTGTCTTAACCCTCTGTGCAACAGTGCCAGCCCAGGATATAATTTAAATACAACACAGTACACAGGTGTCTAGTAAGAGAGGTTGATGAACTTTTATCTATGTGAACATCTCTGAAATCATCACTCAGATTAACATATGGGACAGATTGTGGTCCTTCCTCTGTACAGGGCCAGACAGTTCGAATTTTAGGTTTTTGGGCTACGCAGACTCTACTGTAGCCATTCAACTCCGCTATTGGGATTTGAATGCAGTCGCGTATAAACCTAAAGGAATGGGTATGGCTGTATCCCAGTAAAACTTCATAGAAACAGGCAATGACTTTGGCTCTAGGGGCTGTGGTTTACTGAGCTCGGATAAACAAACCCCCAGCAGGCTCCCATGTTCCCGCTCTTCCCAGGCATGCATCTTCTCTTCCTTTGTCCCCTGTTCCCAATGAAAATTCTTTCTGTTGATTAGTTTTGCCTGTTTCGGCTTCCTGTGAATGGAGTCGTCTAGAACGTACTGCCTGGTGTATGACCTCACTCAGTGCTATGTCTGTGAGTTTCATTCCTGTGATTGTGGGTAGTTGAGCTTTGCTGTTTTTCATCGCTGTGTAGTATTCCATGTGCGACCGTGTTCCCAGCGTTTATCCTCTCTGTTGTTGGATACTTGGACAGCTTTCAAGTTCTTGCTATTATGAGTAAATCTTTTATAACCCAATCATACGTGTCTTTGAGAGGAAAATGTGTCTTGTTTCTGCTGTTTATACCTAGGAGTGGACTTGAAGAGGCATGAGGTGTGTATGTAGCTTTGCATTGGCCCCAGCTCCAGAGCTCTGCTGTGACTGATGACCTTGATGACAGTGGACTGGCGGGTTGGGTTCAGGGAGGTGGGCGTGTACTGCAGATGTGCAGGAACAGGGGATGGTAGATAACTGTCTCTGTGTCTCTGGTCTCCCTGATCACAGCTCTTCCGGCGCTGGTCTCTCATCGTTACTCCAACCCCAAGGGCAATGTTGTAATCAAGGTCAAGACCGGCGGAAGATGTCTCCCGGGGTTGTCAGAACAGCTACTTCAGAACCAATTAAGCCTTTGTTTTAAGAGTATTTTGGCCAAAGGTTGATATTTTAACACCGAGTCAGATGTGATTTAGGAAAAAAAAACTCCACATGCAGCAAAAACAAACCGCGTAGACCTTTTCCGGGTTGTTTTTCTTTTGAGACGTGAAGTGGCGTGTGGTTGTGTGTGTGCACAAAGACAACTAGGAGAGGATCCAGAAGAAATGGACCGTTTTATTTGTTTACACAGCTGAGCAGTGGAGACTGCAGTGGGTGTTACTTTCACTCACGTCTTTGCGCTGGCGAGTTCCCACCCATGCCTCCTCACGGCAGAACCCCTCGGCTGGGTCTTGGGATACCCCAGTTCCGGAGGACCACTGGGACCCTGGACCATGTCTTTGTCCTGTGCTGCGCCTTACTCCTGGGCATGAGCTTCATGTTTTGT